GCAGTCTTGAACTTAGCTCATTCAGGGAAACCGAGAACGATGAATATCCCAAAATTGCCATTCTGCCGAGCCGCTGCCTTTGAGTGGGAGAAGTGCGATAATCAGAGCAGGGCGGCGTATGCCCGAAAAGAAAAATCTGAGAATGCGTGCAGTTAGTTCGATATCACTCACACCTACATACGGCACGCTTCTCATTCCCGAACTTCTTACAATCCCAGCCGTAAAGCCTGAGGTACGACCCAAGTTTGCTGCATACACCGCTTTTCACAGCCTCATCGTAGCAATGGTCATGATGCATGCAGCATCTAGAAGTAATCTTTCATGAATATGAGTGCGAATTTGGGACTGGTACTTTTACTTACTCGTCAATTTTGTCGACTGGGTGACCCCCACCACCTGGGCCGCACCAGCATCCATAATTGTTGTATCTCTGAAAAGCATGAAATCGAGCAGAATATCGTCAAAATGGTGAAACATACCATTCCCCAACCCCCATCACGCAATCAATCACGAAATTGAAATTAATCAGCCCTAGACGCGTAGCAATATGATCTTGTGGCACGACTGCGTAGACCAACGAGAGCAGAACTAGAATGATGTACATGTTCTATGACAGTAAAGTGAAAAGCAAAGTGACACACTCCTTATATATTGGGCGATGAGAACAAGTTACTTGACGTCTCATTAGTCCCTCTTTATGGTAAGCGGATTTGAAGGGATTTCGCGGCTGTCGCAAAAGAAATCGTCTTATACAGGGTGTCCCAAAAAATGTATCGAACGTTTGATCGTTAATACCTCTCTTCCCAAGAAGTCTTCTCCTTGCTTCAGGTACCGTTTTGTAGAGCTGGCTCTTCAACTTAAATTTGCAGTAAAGAACGAATCACCCATCTTTTTTAATTACTGTAGGATTACGGTAGAAACTTGAAACATATGGTGCCAATATGGGAAAAGCTGCCGTTTCAAAATCTCACAAAAAATTGTGAAAACTTGTGTAATAGGGTTTTATGGACGCTGAGTTCAATACTTAACTATTCACAAGATTACGAAGCTTTCTAAACGGTGTAACCGCACTTTGAGGAACATTGAAAAAATGGCCGTTACCTTCTAGGTGTAACCGCACTTTGAGGAACATTGAAAAAATGGCCGTTACCTCTTACCTGGCATAACTCATCAGTGAAGCATCACAATAACTTGGGAACTTTAAGTTAGAATCAGCAACTCTAATTGGCCTAGTGCTAAAGTTTTTAGGCTGTTTTGATTCCTTTCTGAAGCAAAATATGGCCTTTTATTGCTTAAAACCCTCTTTGAAGTTCCTATCGTAATCCTATAGTAATGAAGGAAACTGAGTGATTCGTTTTATAACGCAAATCTAAGCTGAAGCCAGCTCTACAGATTGTTACCTGAAGCAAGAGAAAAGACTTTTTTAGAAAAGAGATATTAACGATCAAACGTTCGATACATTTTTTTGGGACACCCTGTATGTTGCTCACTAAAGTCAGATCATTTGTAGTGCTATCTTCTGTGCTGAGCAAGAAGCATGTTTTAGGGGATGACTAAGCAAGAATGAGTGGGACTCATGTCTTCCAACCTTCCATGCAAAATTAGGCCTCGGACAGAGTCCAAGCGATTTTATCGCCTCGCGATTCTCTAAACAAGACATCAGTTACGAGTCCATTGCATGCCGATCATTTTACATTTCGGTTGTGATGGTTATTCATGATTAGTCGTGTGGAAAAACTATCACAACCGAAATGCAAGATGGTCGGCATGTAATGGATTCGTAACTGTTGCCCTGTTGGAGAATCGCGAGGCGATGAAAACCTTGAACTCCACCCGAGGCCTTACACAATTTATTTTTTTTTCTTTCATGGAGAGACAGTTAATGAACCTCATTCTCTTTCATCAGTTAAGTTTGTAGATTTTCATTCTCTGCAAGGACCGGCATTGACAATGTGGCGTATAACTAGAAGAAAGCTGTGTTTCTGCAAAACCTTCAATGCTATTATGATTGGTGCAGCATTGATTTTTTTAATGAATATTATGCCCTTACTCTGGAAATCCAAAAAACGGTGAGATTCTCCAATAATCTTCGAATTAATGGAAGCAACTGTCATAGAAGGATACAAAGCACATTAGGTTAATCCTGTAACAACGTCGCAAGAAATCACATGGAAGTATTAAGTAGCGCTAATGAGATTGTTGGCAATGACGAAAACACCAAAATCTGATTTGGATGACAATTTGCTCACAAACCATAAGCATCTTTTTGAGTTTTTAGAAGACTGTATTACTTTTTAGGCCAAGAGAAGATAAAAGAAGCATATTTGCAAATGAAATGAAAGTAGTGCACGTCTTTAATGCGCCTTGGAACGCTAATTTCCAATCTGTCTTCAATAATGCTGAGCGGTTCTCCAATGAAACGTTGTGACGGATTTCAACTATTTCAAGTGCGCCCACCTTGCAAAACTAATGCGAAAAGAAACTCATAATAGTTCAGAGAATGTATCAGCAAATTATTAGCGAAATTGGTTTGAGGTTAGCGCTTTGTGGCGCATTCTACTAGATTTTGTTGTAGATTTGTAGATTTTGTAGATTTTGATTTTTTTCACTAAGCCCTCTTTCCTGGCCTGACATGTGGGTTTTACATAGTCACTCTTTTTCTTTCAAGAAAGTACTGAAGCATTTTCGCCTGCAGCATAAGTTAACTCAGCATGTTATTGAATCTGAAAACCCTGCCAAAATTCTCATTATCATGTTATTCATTTCATAGACTAAAAAAGTCAGTAATGGCCAATTGCCTAAACTTATCGTTGAAGCTACAGAGCTTATACTGTTGTTGAATTGTGTGAATATTTCACCAAGCTTGCTCAAGAGTTGACTTGAATATCAGAAAGTTCAAACTTTTGTGTTTCTTTTCTTTTCTTTTATTTTTCTTTACTTTTAAATTTACTTTCCTTTGGCGGACATAAAATCGTATATCCGTCCGCTCCTACCCTTGAAAGGCCGACTTAATGAGGAAATGGTCTAAAGTTGCGCCCTGTCAAACCCCAACAGCTGCGTAATATTTGGTGCAGCGTAAAACGCTTGCATTGAATTTTCCTTACTTGCTAAATCTCAAGCAAAGCCGATTCTTTTGCAAGAAGACTACTCATACTAAGTGCATACTTGGACATGTAAAGCAGAGTATTAGGCGTACACTCGCTGGCCCATGATTGCCTAATGACCCCCGACAGCCAAACGTCTTTTCTTCAGCAATTTTTTTTCTTCGGAGTTGATGAAAACTTTTCAAAGTTGTACTAATCGTCTAACCCAACAGTACCAAGCATGTTGCTATTGAGAACAAATGCTGTGCTGGAGTCATGCAAACTGCGATGAACCACATGTTGAAAGTTGGGGTTATCGAAAAATTTGCTATTTCAATAACTTAATTATTCTTGTCAGCAACATGCTTAGCACTGTTAGGCTAGGTAAGCTGTGCAACTTTGGGGGGTTTTCGTAAACTTCAAAGAAGGAAAAACGACTTTGAAGAAAAGACGCTCGGCCGCTAAGGACCTACAGGGTGTACGAAAAGCTGAAAAACGCGGCTTGTTTACAGCTTTTTGCTTCTGTTTATTATACCTATAATGAAGGATGATGGAATACTTACGGATAGATATACAGCGTGAAATCCAGGCATTTGAAGCTTTAAGATATGAAGCTTTCTTTGAAGCTGCAATCTCTCTCCGGTGGGAATATTAATGCATGCGGCACTTGAACTGCAAAACACCTCAGACAATCGACGGGACCCCTCCGCCGGACCCTCCGAAACTGCCAGAGTCGCGCCGGACCCAGTTGACCAATGAGAGAAGGGCAAATGGGCGGTCCATCGCGGTGGCATCACTGGCAGGCAAGTGGGAGGCTTCTCCGGCCCTGCTGCAAAGGTCCGCCATTTCTCCGGCGCGACTCTGCCAGATTTGGCGGACTCCGCGCCGGAGAAATTTGCGCGGCGCGTGTCCGCCAAATTTGGAAGAGCCGCGCCGGAGAAAATGGGAGGGGTCCGGAGCAGAAATGGGAGGCCTCCGGAGCAGAAAATAGGAGGTATCCGGGGCAGAAAATGGGAGGTATCCGGAGCAGAAAATGGGAGGTATCCGCCGGAGAAATGGGAGGTATCCGGAGCAGAAAATGGGAGGTATCCGGAGCAGGCTGCGTATCGATTTGGCGCGTAGCAAGCAAACGTCTAACTCCACGGTGATGAGTCCTCTGTTTACGCTCTTTGTCCATATTTTAGTCGCCGTTTCTTTGATTTTGTTGTTTTTGCGCGTTTCTTTACCGTTTTTTTCCTTTTCCGCGTTGCTCTTCGTCGCGTTGGCGTTTATGTTGCTGTAAGTTCCTCGTTTTCAGGTTTATGTTTGAAATTTTCGTGCGGTTGCACTCAATCACTTTCAGTGTTTGGCTCTTTTCGCCCGTAGTAATCCACCCGACATGATGGCATAAGACATGACGGCGACCTCGCGAACCTCATGACAAGCTCATGTTTTGGGCGTGAGGTTCGCGAGTTTCTATAGCCTTTCGATTTTACAGGCAATCACGTGCAATGAAAGGTTGACCGCAAAACCATTGCACCTGCTGGGATGGAACTCTTCTCTGTCCAACGAGAGTCAGCACGTTAACCTGTTGAACTACACGTGCACATTTCAACAGTGCTTAGAAAGCATAATCAACCACATCATAACCTCTGCTAACGTGTTCATTCCACTATGCTTGTAGATTGTTGGGGCTATCGGAGACTGACAGGTAATGCTATCATACAGGAATAGAATGTGTACAATCTCTGATTTGAGCCACATGAGGTAGAGGTTAGAAAAACTTTGCAAGTAAAAGCTCATCCTCAACAGAACAGTTTTAGAATAGCTTTGAGAAAAGCATCAGCCGGACAGTTTTTGTGGTATCGTGTGCTTCCAAAAAAAACCATGTCCGATACGGAACTATTGCTGTGATGATGTCTTCTCTTCCTTTTCACTAACATTGACCCTGATCGACAAAGTTTTCACGTCTTGGTCCTGTCCTAGGAGCTAGTCGACCGCAGATGGCCGACATTGGCAAACATATGCGAGCTTGAAACGCTAGTGCCAGTACAGGTCGCAGGTCGCCTTATAAGAGTCGAGCTCATGCAACGATTCAGCTGCCCGTCGCCTGTCCCACAGACCCAGTTAGTCGTGCAGTAACGACTCGACGATAAATTGTACAAGGTTACTACTTGCTGCTGAAACACCGAAGGCGACTATCAACGATAACGCCTTTGTAAGCCACAAACATTGCAATAAAAATCTTCCAAACACTTGCTGCGACTGTGGACTTGAGCTTTGACAGTGGGATCGTTGGTTATGAATGGAACTGGATGTAGACGAATTGATGTCTGTGAACTCCATGCCATATACTTTTTTAGTCGTAGCAGCGCTGTTTTCTCCAACAGTACTTCATTGAGAGAACAAGAATTTTATCAGAGAAAAAAAAAGCACATCGTCCATTGTTCGAACAAGAATTTTATCAGAGAAAAAAAAAGCACATCGTCCATTGTTCCACCACAAACTACGATAGCAAAGCAAAAGCAAGCACCCCAGTAACCTTGCAATAACATGCATGTTCACACTTATTGGATATTGGGCTAGGAAACTTTCAAGTAATACCACAGGAGACAAGTGAGCTGCACTACAGGAATGCAATGCAATTGTAACTGAATTAGAGCACTCCTACAAACGGAAAAAGATGGAGTAACGCTGCATAGGGGAAAAAAACAAGAAATCTACTTCTTATTAATTACTGTATCAACGGGAGGGTGGTAATAGGCAGCGAGATATGCCCTGGCGGCGATAGCATAGTTGGAGCCACAGTAGTAGATTGTGGCAATCGAGATTTCCAAATATCGAAGACGATACCGATTGCTAGATGCTATGCAATCGTAATCCGAGAGAACACATCCTCTGAAAAAAACGAATACAGGTCCAGTAACAAGATTTGGAGCGAAGTTTGCTGAATTATAAGGTTGACGGATGAATTCGCGATGAGTGCGATGGTCAGAAAATTTGCTGAATGCGGACTGTGGAAGCTCGTTTAAGAAAAACCAGTGATTGACGAATTAGAGACGAGCAACTTGATATCTATGCACTTCATAATGAGATCGGCGTGATTCCGAGTTGTAACTGGGTTTACACCTGCTACACAACCTCTCAATTGCCTGCATAGTTTCTGCGCAGACACATATGCCGGAACTCCGCCATACATGTTACAGCCGCACGTAAGCTCTTCAATCACCGAGAAGTGAGAGTTTTTGGAAATCCTCACACTCAATGTTATGAATAGATCGTCTCGCATAAAGATACAAAGATATTGGTCTGCAAGATATTGGTTGGATGATCGCAGTTTTCTTATACATGAAAGTTGAAACTACACACGAAAAAAAGGCGCTATTCCACACTGGTTGACCCAAAAAATGAAAATCGGGAATTCGCTGAAACTTCGTCTAGAGGAGTTATTTTGCACCTGATTACGACTATCACACTTATTTCACGGGGTAGTGCCATCTGGTAGAGTTACGGTAGGATTACGGTAGGGGTCAAAATTACGGGTTTGTCCCAAACTCTTCCTAGAGGGTTTATTTGGCACTGAAGATCAACCCATTTCGTACGGTAGCATCGTGTTCTCGGGTTGCGGTGGATATACGGTAACTAGCTAAAAATCCCGAATTTGCTGGAAACTTTGCCGGAAAAGAAAGCAAATGTCATGTTCATTCGCTGCAACAGTACCTTATCGTTAGAGATACGATGAACTAGATAGCGCGAAAAAGCAACTTTTTCGATTCTTAGCCAAATTTAGGTCCCAATCCTCAAAAAGGCTTCATCGTGAGAGATGAGTGCGATATACGTGATCAGCACGTCAGGTAACACCCCTGCACAAATATTCGAGCTAATATATTACTTTAGTCACCTACTGTACACTTACCGCAATTCCGCGAAAAAGTTGCAAAACGCAGAAAGAGCATGATATTCGTAATCAGCTTGTTTAAAAAAGCCCTCTAGGCAAAATTTTGAGCAGTCGGGATTTTTAGCCACGACAGGGATTTTTAGCCACGACATATACCCCATAGTATACCCACAGCAACCCGAAAAAGTGGTACTACAGTGCGAAATAAATGTGGTTTTCGTATTCGTAATCAGCGTGCAAAATAACCCCATTAGGCCCCGGACAAACTTCACGCGATTTGGTCGTCGCGAGCAATCGCCGACAATCCCATTCATTTTCATTTCACATTCAAAAATTTCGGGCTGGAAAAGTATCCCACCGAAATGCAAGTTGATTGGCATTGAAATGATGTTGTAACAGTTGTCTCGTCGCGACTGAGTCGTGACGATCAAATCGAGTGAAGTCTGTCCGGGGCCTTAGAAGAAGATGTGAAAACCCACCCGTGGTTTTCATTTTTTGTGTCAACTAATGTGAAATACCCATAGATTTGTCCGAATTCGTGCCTCCCGAGACGCTGGAACTGCCAAGCGCAGGAGATACGCGGGTAGGCATATTTTAGTACGCGTTGAATACTGCGTGTAGTGCACATCTCTTAGTCACACGAAGCTCGACGTTACATACCGATTTTCATTTACAAATAGGTACTCGGATATTACAAGGATCAGTCGATTTTGCGTCTGTCCTAGAACTTCTTCTCACTTTGGCTGACCTTAGGAGGTACGGGACTATATTTCGCCAAAAGTGGGAGTACCCGCCGGACATCTGCAGCAAATACACATTTTAGTACATCACAGAATGAGTATCTGCTGCATTGTTCGCGCAACACCCTGCCACTTCCGGCGACATACAGTCTTCTACCCAACTTTAGGTGAGTTCCAGTTTGTATGAATATCTCCTGCTTTGACAGTACCAGCGTCTCGAACGGGTTTAGACGGATTCGGGGGTGGCTGGAAGAAGTCGGGTGGGTTTGGGCGGGTATCAGCGCAGTCGGAACGATGCCTTATCGATCGACGACGCTAACACGGCCCACACGGGCAAATCAAACAGTCTAAGATAGACAGAACTCAACAGGATGAATGAATTATATACCATTATTTCAAAGAATTATAAAAAAAGAGAAAAGAAATGGTTAGAAAGCAATTTATCAGCTTACCTTTTAAGTTTGGTCCCTGGAAGGTACAGATTTTCCAGCTCCGGCGCAAGTAGCTGAATCTTTTGTTAGCTCCATATAAGATTAGTTCAAAAGTGGATACCCATCATAGGACACCATAGAACTAGGTGAAGCTGTCTAGAAGTGGAGACAGAATGCTGTTCCGAGAAAGAGTGGGCAGCCGCATGTGAGTGACTGCTTTGAGCGGTATCGACAGTAAATTGACCTATAGTAAAGTGGCTAAACTTGCTTGTGCTCTGAAAAGTAGGAAAAAGTACTAAAAGTAGTAGAAGTACTAAGAAGTAGTAGGAAAGAAGAATGATTCTTACCTCATAAAGTGCTCCATTATCGAAAGCAAGACTGGCTTGGCTATAGTAAGCCAATGATTTCCGTTACGATCAAAAATGGCAGCCAACAATGAAGTGATGGACGACAAATCTAAAATGCGTTAGTAGACAACCACACTTGAGGATGAGTTAGAACTTCAAGAGAGAATGTAATGTATTGAGACGAAATTTTCGTCATAGAGAGATAACAAATGGAATGAGTAAATCTGAAGCCACTAGCAATGTAAACCAATTAGTAAAAGAAAGTTTACCATGCTCAATCGCAGAAATATCCAAATATAATTGCTAATTAGGCTGACAGTGCTTTGTGAATTGCAGACTTAGGTACCACTATTCCCTACAAAACAATTATGTACACGTAGTCGTGCTCTGAGTATACCGAATTCTTCCATTCAAAAAGGAATGGTGTTTACCAGCACCTTGATCACATTGCCACTTCTGCTGCATACAAGGGTGGGATAGAGTCTGTGATTCAGTTAACGATTTCGTTGGATGGTGCCAGCAGACCATTTTTGGACAGATGCAGATGATGACAGATGCTCTAGGCTGTACCAAGCTACAGATGATGATAACGTCCGAATTGATTTTCATCAAATCATCAACCACACCCACCCTGTCAAATGTAAAATATAGTGATACTATAGTGGGTGGAATCTACCATGGATCGAATTTATAGAGGAACCTGAGCGAACAAGAGTGTAATCGAAACATGGTTATGACAGACTTGAGAAAATCTTATGCTGATGAGAACACGAACAATGACGTGCACTCTGTATGGAAATGAACCGACTTTGCGCATACTTGGAATAAAGGCAGAAGTTTCACGACAAGGAGAACGCCATTTGGTTCTACACGAAAAAAAATTTGGCCTAAAGTGTGTTCGTCATTCTCTGATTATAGAATATAAATACTCTATAAGCTAACTGGAACTTGAACCTGCCTTCAAACCGCCGACAGCTGCCACTATCCTCCTGTGGGAGCTCTTTACCTCAGTGCCCCAAAACCATGGTTTCGATTTTGAGGCCCGAATGTTGAAATAGTGCTCAAAACGGCTGCAGACGGCTAGCGGCGGCTGCCGGCATGGTGTGAAAGTAACTGAAAGAGGCAAGTCAAGGCCTGAAAAAGCAACTTACTTTGTAAAATCAATTTACCGGTACTTAGACCGTCAAGATGACACAAGGCTCATTTTCCATGCCAGAGTACCAAAAACCTGAAAGCGAAAATTAGAGAAAGCATAGCTGTTTCGTCTTTTTCGCAAGCCGAAAACGACGACGTGAATATGTGGGAGGTTACATGCACGAAAAAGCAGAATTGAGCGCGATCTATCATCAAATAGATGAGATGGATCTGCGAACGGCATATAGAAAACTGATATTAAGAGAGCAACAAACTGGAAGATATTGAGAAAACAACAAACATAGAAGAATCCTTTAAAAACTCGCCGCAGATGGGCATGTACATTGATAAAAAAACACGCAAAAACGAAGAACGGAGGGGCCTAAAAAATCCTATGATCGTTGTCTGTCTCAGCAACCGAACAAAGCTTATCACTCCAGCAATTTTCTATATTTTTATGAGCTTTGGGTCATAAGTATGCTTCGGCTATAAAGAGAAAGTCATAAAAATGAAGAAATCGTCCGAAAATACCCCAGAAAATCTCAGCGCTGCCATGAACCTCACGACATATGACATGGTCCGAGCACGACGAGATGCCGGCAGGTTGCACTCCTCAATATGCACGCTATTTTCCTTTCTTTGCTGACATGAGGGCGAGGTGCAGGCAGGTTGAGGGCGAGATCGCGGCAGAAATCTCGACAAAATACCTCACGAAGTTGCCGGCAGGTCAATCTTTTAGGTCCAAAATTTGAAGTTGTCGGGATTTTTCGGATTTTTTTCGACCTCCATCCGGTGCCCACCTCTAAGCTGGACCGTCAGACCTGGAGAGCGCCAAATTGATTGCTTTGGGGAAGCTAGAGAGGGCGCTGACAGTTTTCATGACCTGAAGGGGAGATCGCGGCGAGTTGAGGGCAAGACCTGCCGGCAGGTAGGGTAGATTACTACCACCCCTACAGTGTTTGGCTCTTTCCGACTTGCTGAGACATCGTAGACTATTGATGGAGTGGTTTTTGTGATTAATTCTGGATTTTCGAAGCAATGAGGTTAGTTGCGCAACTATCTAGTGTTGTTGTGATGAAAGTATCGTCTAAATAATCCGTTTATTGCTATCTCCACCGATGAATCACTTTGCCGTTTGCGTGGTTCGCATCTCGCGTGTCTGTGTGGGATTATCATGCGGTTCTCCGCGAATTATCAATATGACTGTTTTTCACATACCATATTTTGTTTTCAGGGCAGAGGTAATGAACTGCTGTGAAGAGCATGCATTGCATTGTGCAGCATTGCTTTCAAGATTTTCGTAATGCAGTTTTTTACCTTCAGCTTTAGCACTTCTACTCTTTCTGTTGTTGTTGTTGATTTTGACTTCAGTTTAGTATACACTATGTTTAGACGTAACCAAACCATAGATATCTGTGTTTACTGGTATGGATCCCATTTACGATACAGAGGTTGTTTTCACCGAGTTTTGCGCCAAAACCAGTGCGGACATTCGTAGTGAATACTAGTAAGTCACAGCTCTACTTCTTTTCTCGAGGTCTCGGGAGTTTTGATTTTTTGATTGTCTTCAGATGCCGCTTTGCATTCCATCAATGCAAATGTTGAGCCATCTTCAGGCGTTTGCACGTTTCCCGCGAACAGTCAGTTCCCTGATCGTTTTATTCTTTGGTATGTTCAATTTACACTTTATTACGAGTTACTGATTGGTTGGGCACGGAGCTCATGCGTATGCTTGCGGCAATGCTTGCGGCGTTTCGCGCATCTGTTATACAGGGGTTTTCAATCTGAGTGTCACGGTCGACGCGGCTCTCGAGGGGGTGAACCACGTCGACCGTGACACTCGGATTGAAATCTCGTTTAATAGATGTCCGCGGAACACTCCAAATACAAAATCTTTTCAGAGCTATCGATGAGTTCATCAGTACTCAGCGCATTGTCGACGTGGATGAAAAAGAGTCTAAGGCAAGGTGAGCTTATTTTTTTCACTCATCGTCAAGCAGATTTCTCTTTACAGCTCACCAGCTAGTGATTTCTCCGAGGAACTTAACGTTACTCCACCACCCACAAATACAACTCTTCTAAATGATGGCATTTCTGAAGAGAAGATTGGTGTTCCTAGAGCATATGCTGCTTCCTGAGTACATATCCTGCTTGTAAAATGTGCATGCCCAAATATACTATACGCAAGCTTCTCCCTCGCGTCCCCGCAGTCGGTCCTCGTTTTCTGATGGAATACTTCATCCACATGCGGATGATCCTGTAATGGAAGCCGTCCTCAACGGTGACTTGGATGAGGTTAACAGGGCAATCGAAGTAAGTCTCCTAGAATACCACTTTTCTTACAAGAAAATTTGTTGTTTTTCGTATTGATGCTCTCTTATCGTGACTCTTGGAAAGAACTTTACAAATTAGAAATTATATGGTTCCAACGTTCCTTGTGATTGCAGTTTTATGTAATTCCATGTAATCCATGTAATCTTCACCTCCATGTAATTCTTACCGCTTTTTTGAAGTGTGTACATATATCTATAGTAAACTGAGACGTTTTGTCCTAGAATGGTCACGATGTCAATCAGCGCGATCTCGAAAAGCAGACCCCGCTGTTCATCGCTGTCGGCATGAAAAGGCTAGACATCTGCCGAGCACTGGTCGAGCGTGGAGGAGCAATCATCAACGCTAACTGTAAGAATCTACTCAGCAGAGAAATTGGGCAGAGGTCATGATGTGACTTTCAGGCGGCTCCGAATGCAACACTGCTCTACATATCGCTGTCTCTCAAAAAAGCGAGGAGATTGTGAAGTATCTGCTGTCCAAGGGGGCAAGCAAAACGGTATGTGGTTCGTGATATCTCTTCAGCATGACAATATATATTTGGATATCATTCAGATCCGAAACATTAGACAGCAGACCCCATCGCAGCTGGCGCAATCTCGCTCGCCATTGAGATCGCTCGTGGAAAAGTACCGAAGTCATCCGAGACAGCTTGGTAAGCATTTCCTTATTTATCTCTTCTTCTGTCATTGTTGATCAACTGACAACATGATTTTTTTAAATTCTAGTGGTTCCACGTCTTCCTGACGTTCACATTGTGTGCTTCTCGAAAAAGGTGAAAGCAAGTCTCACCTTTGCTGAGCAAGCAGCATTAGAGAGGATTATGACGGTAGGTTCATTCCGAAATTTTGTCAAATGTATTGTGATTGTTTATTATAAGGAGAAGGTATTGATTCGTAGTTCTTCAGAATTTTATTGCAAAGGTTTACTTGTGTTTTCCAGTACCCTTGAAGTTCAGGTAGTGCCAATATGTGATGAGGAAACGACGCACTATGTCGTTGCACTTGACACTGAAGGAGTCTTTTTGCAACTAGGAAATTAGCTTTTCTTTGAATATTCTTATCTCTAACTCCTAGTATGGTTTTTGTAATATGAATTAACTGTTGTACGTATGCTGAAGATAGATAGATTTTTCGAAAGTTTGAAAAATTTGAAATAAATGTCTTATCTCTTCGTTCTTTCTTCTATCTTCTATCCACAAACGCTAGGGGTGAGAGGGAGGGGTTAGAGTACGGAGTGAGGGTCGCGCTAAACTCCTACCCGGGGGGGGGGTCCTATTCGGCTTCTTTGGGTGGGGTTTAGAGACAAAATTGGGGTTTGGAGCTTAAAGGCAGCGTCCAGGCAAGTCTGGACCTATGGGGATTTTACATGGAAAGTATTTTGGGGCCCTAACTAAGCCACTACCCAACCGGCAGCTCAAGTAGTGCTCTAACGCCTGAGATATTCTGCTCGAAACCGAACCCCGCGACCGTGTTTCGCATGGATTCATGGCGCAAAGCGTGGATCCTGGCGCGAAACTGCCATGAATCCATGCGAATACGTTCGCGGGGGTCTGTTTCGAGGGGAATATCTCAGCCATTGGAGCACTACCTGAGCTGCTGCTTCGGCAGTGCCTTAGTTAGGGCCCCAAAAGTACTTTCCATGTAAAAGCCCCATAGGTCCAGATCTGCCTGGAAGCTGCCTTTAATTAGGGCTAATTACGGCAGACGCGGAGCACAAAATCGGGGGGCTCCGGCGCACAAAATCGGGGGGCTCCGGAGCAGAAAATGGGAGGTATCCGGAGCAGAAAATGGGGAGTATCCGGAGCAGAAAATGGGGGGTATCCGGAGCAGAAGATGGGAGGTCTCCGGAGCAGAAAATGGGAGGTATCCGGAGCAGAAATGGAGGTCTCCGCCGGAGAAATGGGAGACCCACCGCTGGGGAAACGCCGCGACCCTGCCATTTCTCCGGCGGAGGGGTCCTATCCGCTGTCTGAGACCTTCGGTTTGCATCACCGCGTCTTGCCAACTTCGATCAAAATGAGTACCCGCTTGTCTCGTACTAGAGGAAAATGCTCGATCAGGACAGCCTTCATTCCTTTTTCCATTTTCTTAAATTGAATGAGCAAATCCGTAAATCGATATAAAAAACCGGTTTGCCGCAAAAAAATGGCGTATGTTTTTCTCCACCTTTTATCTTTTTTTCTCTAGTGTTTTTCTTTCTTTTTCTCTAAATGAGTGTAAACAGTTTCAGCTCTATCGGTGCATGGACGGTGCCATCTGTAGGTTACATACACATGTACAATTTTTCTGCTTTATAAAGACTATTTGGCAACCTCTCGGATCTGTCTGTATGCTAAAGGTCACCCTTATTTTCTCGCAACACCACTGTGTCCCTGTTCTACTTTTTACGATACTTTCCTGCCCTTACTATGTTTTGACAATTTTCATGCTCACCTACCCCTCTTCACCAACTCCAGCTCTTCTGGCCAAACCTAACACATGTAATCTTGTCTATTACTTGCAGAAAATCGATAAAATCGATATACGCAGTGGGCTTTTCCCAAATCAATGTTACTTTCGTTATTACCATGCTCATATACCCCCTGTGCCAAGTTGTCCCGTAACTCAAAGTTTGCGAAAAGATGAAATCGATAAATCAATAGACGATTTCGAAAATTCATATCATATTCAGAATCACCATGCTCCCCGCCCTCTATGTCAAGTCCCGCCTCTAGCTCAAAATTTGCAAAAGCCGATGAAATCGATAAATCAATAGACAATTTCGAAAGTTCATATCGTATTCAGAATCAGTATGTTCCCCACCCTCTATGTCAAGTCCCGCCTCATAGCTCAAGATTTGCAAAAAGCCTATGAAATCGATAATGGTATTCTATAGTTCTCACCCCTTTGTCAAACTCCCAGTCCGTAAACCAAAAAAATAAGAAAGTCAATGAAATTGAAATCGTTCGATAACGAAAAATAGCCTACGATACCCGCCCCGCCCCGAAGTGTACGAGTGCAAAGTCCGGCCGAATCGGTTCAAAAATGCATTTTTTATTTGAAACATACGTACACACATACAGCCTAGAGGGTTTTCCGCTTGACATAGTATGCCTCACAGCAAACAGCACCTGAACTAGTAGTTACGCCTGTAATGCGGGCTGCTTGCGCGCGCAGATTGTCGGCAAGAAGTAGCTATTTGTTTTCTGTTTTGAAAATACAGTTAAGAACAATTTCGTAAATATTTCGGTTATTATGTTATTTCGGCTTTTCCAGCGGAAGCGAACAAACTCGGCGTAACCTCAAAGAGATAGTAAGCCAATGCACCTTATCTGGTACTCTTTGGAGACTCGCTAGCACTAAAGTGGGGTTCTGAGTTGGTGACAGCTGGAGAAATCGCGCCTCTTGACCGTCTTCCGAAACAGTGCCGCAAGGAAATGCAACCATTTTCGATGCAAACCGAAATTATTTTTAGTAAAAGAATACCCGGAATTTTAGAGAAGAAAATGGAAGAAACTTTCTGGAGCGTTGCGTTTCGGAAACTTGCCCATTATCTCGACTCATTGACCTTCGTTTGCTGTGAAAATGCCAGCGGAAATTGAGCGGGGCACACCATCAGCATAATTTCCAAAATTTTTAGTGGATCATGTGCCCCTTTGCTCTGAGCGATCAAATTCGGCAATACAGCTTTCTTGATTGAAGAAGAATTCAGAAACTATAATAATTCGATCGAATTCAAAGAATTTCTATGTTGAATTTTTTAACCACATTTTTTTTTACTTGGAACATCCACAGTTATTCCTTTTCAAACAAATTTTGCGACTATTGAGAATGCACACTATATTCTCCTATCTACTAATCAACTGGGTGACATTCGGTAGATAACTTGGCACGTTTGGGCTTGGCTGTGTCAGCTGGCTGCAGGTGCTCATGGCTATTTCAATTCAGCACAGTCGGACGACAAAATAATGCATCATCTCGTGGTGCAAAGCTATCAAAATTATACAATCTCAGAAAGGATGGAAATTGTGCACATTTGAGAATTTTTGAAAAAAAATTCAAAAATTTTCAAAGTTACGGTTACGGCTCTCGGCAGTACTTTCGTCGCGTATAAATTATATAAAAGTATAAATAGAGATAAGTATATATAAAAACTAAGTAAAGATAAGTATATATAATACTAAAGTGCGGTTCATAATTATACGAACACCCCAAATTTTAGAAATTTCTGGACTTTTTGACAGAAACTTAAAAAGCCGTTTGTACCACGCGAAAGAGCACAACCGAGAACGGTATATGATCCATAAGAATGAAAATGAATGTCAATTTCGGGAGTGTTTTTGCGCCTAGTGCAAATTTTTAGCGGTTCATAATTATACGAACACCTCAAACAAAGGTCCATTTTTTATTCAAGATTGCAGTCGTTTGAGTCCAAATTTTTTGTAAAGCTACATTAACAAAGTCTGACGTGTCCGCTATACACTGAACCCAGTGCAGTTCAAAAAGAGGACCGTTACTTTTTTCAGAAGGCTCTAAATGCTTCTGGAGTGATTGCGCTCCAAAAACATCCGTTCTTCTGCAGTTTACGCGCTCTAATTAGCTTTTACCAAAGCTATGAGATAAAATAAGCTCTTGCGATGGGTATTTTGTCTGACGCTTAGAAAATCTTTGCGTTTTCGTGCCGTTTTTCAACCAAGTTCCAACCTTACCACAGAGTTAGCACGATTTCAAGCCTCAAAACTCAGCTTCTCTTCTCGCGCAAACATTTGATATGAAGCAGCTGCATTGTTTACATGATGATATTTCTGAGCCAAAGTTTTTGGGTTTTTTGTGGAACTGATCTTGAGGCTGTGGAGCTACAAACCAAATAAAGGTATGATTGCAATAGTAAAAGCAGTGTTTTTGATGAAATGACGTCTGCGTGGCCAAAACAAACGCTCAACGCTGCTGACTTTTTCTAGCCAACTACACTGTCTTGTGAACTTCTACATACTATTTGCTTACTTCATTGTAGGGCTTCAGAAGCTGAGTTTAGAGGCTTGAACTCGTGCTAACTCTAGGGTAAGTTTGGAACTTGGTAGAAAAACGGCACGAAAACGCAAAGATTTTTCAAGCGTCAAACAAAATATCTACAAAAGGAGCTTATCTTATCTCATAGCATTGGTAAAAGCTAATTAGAGTGTGTAAACTATAGAAGGACGGATGTTTTTGGAGCGCAATCACTCCAGAAGCATTTAGAGCCTTCTAAAAAAGTAACGGTCCTCTTTTTGAACTGCACTGGGTTCAGTGTGTAGTGGACACGTCTGCTTTGTTACTGTAGCTTTACAAAAAATTTGGACTCAAATGACTGCAATCTTGAATAAAAAATGGACCTTTGTTTGAGGTGTTCGTATAATTATGAACCGCTAAAATCCGCACTAGGCGCTCAAACACTCCTGAAATTGATATCCATTTCCATTCTTATGGATCATATACCGTTTTCGGCTGTGTTCTATCGCGTGGTATCAAAGGCTTTTTGAGTTTCTCCCAAAAAGTCCAAAAACTTACAAAATTTTGGGTGTTCGTATAATTATGAACCGCAATTTATAAATAAAAATAAGTAAAGTATCAAACATCTCGGACGGACAATCTAGTATAAAAATATTGAAGGTATGACAAAATGTTCCCATCATTTTCTGTTAATCGTCTGAAAAAACGGAAAGAAATGAATCAAATGGTTTTTCCAAGAGCACTTCAAACAAAAGTCTCGAACAGATTGATGCGAATTCTCTGTTTCTAGCTAAGCCGCGAACACATACCTCTAGGTGCGAATCCAAATGTGCAGAGATCTGGGTGCACCAACAGAGCACCCAACTAGGTAAGGCAGCCGTAATCAAGAAAGAAGCAAAAATGAGGGATATTTAGGCGACGCTAAACTATTCAATAAATATATTTTCAAGTAGCATTTTTCACGGAGGTTCAAAAATGTAAAAGTTAGCAGGTATAAAACAACAGTGGATTTTGGTCCTAACTGCAGAAATTTGATTTTTTTGCACACTTTCGCCGATCACCAGACGGTTCT